GGGGGGGGGGGGGTCAGCCAGTGGGTGCCACCCAGCTCCCCTTCCCACCCACCCCACCCACCCCCACCCACCCCCACCCCACCCCCGGTAGCCACACACCACACACACCACACACACCACACACACCACACACGCCACACACGCCAGTATGTCCCGCCGCAGACGCAATGCGGCCTTTGCACCCTCGGACGTCCTCCCACTGCCGCCGTCAGACCCGGCCACAGGCCTCCCGCCAGCCTCTCTCTCGCCCTCGGCTGCCATACACGCCTCGTTTGCCTCGTGGCGCGCCCGCTTTGCCCACGCTGCATCGCCTTCGCCACGCCCCTCGCCTCTCACACAGCAGCCCTCAACCCGTGCCCCTCGCTCGTCGGCTGCCTCCGCGTCCGATGCCGCTACCTCTTGGCGCCCTGCCGGCTCCATCGGGAGGCGCCTACATGATCGGCTGCCGCAGGCCGGCCTGGAGCCAGTTCTCTTGCCTGGCCGCCACTCTCTGGGCCTCTCGCCGCGCGCAGAGGACGAGCCGCGCAAACTCCCCCCGCCGCAGCCATCTCCACCGCCGGGCACTCCAGCCGGCGCTGGCGCTGATGACGATGCTGACTCGCCGCACTTGCGCTCGCTCCCGCGCAAGCCGCCGTCATCGGCTCTGGATCAGCTCGCTGCGCTAGCGGCCAAGCCGCGCCACGAGCACCCGCCGCCGGCCTCACCCGCCCGCTCGGCTGAGCCGGTTGTCCGCCTCGCCCTCGGCTCGCCGCTTGCCGACTTTCGCCGTGCTCGCCGCGAAGCGCTCGCTGCCCAGCACGCCTCACCGTCAGCGTCACCAGCCTCGGCCCGCGCACTTGTCCTCGACGATCTCTCGCCTGCTGTTAATCCCCAGCCGCAGCCGCAGTCCGAGCCCGTGCCCGAGCCCGAGCCCGTGCCCGTGCCCGTGCCCGAGCCGGCCCCGATCCCGGTCCCAGCCCCAGCCCCGACCGAGTTGCCCGCCGCTGAGGCTACCGCCAGCGCTGCGTGTGCTTGCGCGGCTACGCTGCATGCGTTGGAGCAGCGGATGGCAGCGCTCGAGGCCTCGGCCGAGCTGCCATCGGTGCTCCGGGCCGAGGTCGACGGCCTTCACGACCATATTGAGAAGTCGCTGGCGGTGGTAGCCGACGAACTCAAAGCGATGGAGGCCCTTGTCAAGCCACTCATTGTCTCGGGCCTCCCCTCTCAGGTGGAAGACGATCGGATCGAAAGCCTTGCGGCTGCACTGCTGCGTCTCAAGGACAAGATCCACGCCCTCGAGTCGGCTGAGGAGACGACTCGCAGCGTCATGCTCGACAAGCTTGCCGACGTGGACGCCAAGACCTCCACCGCGCTCCATGCCTCGTCGACAGCCCTCGAAGCCGTCGCCTCCAAGCCGGCGCATTCGCCGGGCAAGGCCGAGCGTGCAGGCAAGTTTACCACCGCGGATGAAGCCGCACGGCTCGCTACCCGCATCGCAGCCGAGCAGCTGGAGGCTTTTAAGCTCGACCTTGCGCCGGTCATCGACCAGCTCGAGACGTTGACCCACCAGGCCGTCCACACCTCGGAGCTCTCGCTCAAGCGATCGCCGCAAGCCAAGCCACAGGCGCGGTCCAAGTCGGCGCACATGCAGCAGCTTGCTGCCTCGGTCATGGCACTCCAGGACGACGTCGTTGTTCTCAAGGCTGGCATGCGGCAAATTGCAGACCTGCAGCTGCTCCTCGCCAACGAGGCCACCGCTTCCGCGCCCAACTGCCCTGGCTCCGCACCTTCCCCGTAGTTGTCGCCTACTCGATGAGCCCATGCTTTGACAGCAGGCCGAGCAGCGCGCCAGAGCTCGAATCCGAGTCCGAGTCCGAGTCCGACGGCGCAACTACGGTTGTCGGCCGCGTTTTGGGCGGTGGTCTTGGTGGTGCCAGCGGGCTGGCTTCACGCTTGCGCTTGCGAGCCGCGCCATCGTCATCGTCATCGAAAGCTGCCAGCGATACCCCAGCCTCGGCGCTCGGCTCCGAAAACGCATCTGCAAGAAGCGAGAGCGGCCGCCGGGCCGGTGATTTGAGCGCCTGCGGTGGGCTGCTCTCCGACGCAGGAAACGATGCCACAGACTCGGTCAATCGTAGCGGAGAGCTTGGATGGAACGGTGTCGGCGCCGGCGTCGACTCACTCTCGGTCAGCGCGGCCGAGAGTTCCGAAATTCGCGCCTTCAGTGACAGCGAGTTCCTGTCCCGAGTCTCCGACATGAGCGCCGGCGACGTTGCCATGCCTCCGCTCGCAACTGCAGATGTAATTGGCGGCAAGGAAGACAGCGTTGGTGGTGGCGACGGTGACAGCGTTGGTGGCGGTGACGGTGATAACGGTGGCCGCGCGAGTATTGTCGCAGGCTCTGACCCCGTCTCGGCCTCTGCCCCGACCCCTGCCCCGACCTCTGCCACGATCTCTGGCTTATCATTCATCACGGCGTCTTGCGCCAGCTTGACCGTCTCGAGCGCCATGTCAAGCAGGTCGTGCGCCGAAAAGTAAAGTTGCCGCCGGCGTCAAAGTACATGCGATCGCCGGGCTGCGGCTCGACTTCAGCCGGAACCTTGGCCAGCAGTTCGTGCGTGTCCGGTGGCCGGTGGAGTGGGACAACCGGCGCGTCGTGTTTCTGACAGCATCGTGCGCGTCGTCAACCGCGACAGCTTTCGCCGGCGCGTGAGCCGCAACAGGTGGAGCGTGGTTTCTCGCAAGGGAGGCGCTCTCTTGTGACGGCCGCACCAGCGACGGCGTCAACGGCTGCGACGATGAGCCCATCGACAGCGAGTTTGAGGCAGCCGCCTCGGTCTTCGACGGAACTCCGGCGGCGCCCGAGAGGATGGCGTCCCGCAGCTTGCGCGAGCTCGGTGACTTTTCCGGTGAGATGATGGGCGGCTCTGTGGACCCGGGCGTGTGCTTCGACGCCCAGACTGGGAGCATGAGCAGCGCCACGACGTGCTTGCATGCATGCCGGGACTTTGCCGCCGCGGGGCACGAGCAGCCAAAGGCTTTGATGCCAGTCGGAGCGTGCGGCGGATGGTGAGCAAAGGCAAACTTGATCCACACCGAGTACGGGTCGGGCATGGTGCCGGCCATTGTGCCGAGAATGAGCGGCCCCTTACAACAGACGTTGGTAAACCGCGCCCGAAACTTGCGGGCCAGGTGCATGCCGCTCTCTACCGAGTGCCGCTTGCCGCCAGCTATCTCGACTGCAACTTGCTGCACCTGCAAGTGGTCCCAGAGGTAGCCATCCGGATGGACAGTCGAGAGCGTCCAGTCCGGATCAGGCACTATCTTGCACACTCGCTTGAACTCCCACCGCTCGCACGGCGCCATCCCGACAGCCTCGGCCGCCGCACTCGCATCGACGTCAAGCATGCCGGCCTCGCGTGCGCTAGCCTGCCCCTCGGCTGGCCATTTGGCCGGAAAGATGCCGAGGTGAAGAACGCCTGCCTCTGGCCCAGGCTCCACGCCACCCTCGGACATGACCGCGCCCTTGCGGCCAGCACCGCCGGTAGGAGCGAGAGGAAAGGCATCCAGACTGGCGCTTTTGGTCCAACTTGCTCTCTCTTCGCCATCCGACTCGGAGTCGAGCTCCAGCGAGAATGCTCTGTTGACAGCAGAGTCATCTCTGACGCCGTATGACGAAGGAGCGCAGGACACCGGGAATGTCGACTCGGGGCACGGCATCCACACCACGTTGGCGAGCCACGCTGGCCTTGTTCCGATCCGAAACTGCAGCAAGCTGCGTAGCTTAGAGATGGACGGCCCATGGAAAGAGGTTCCTCGACGCATGCCGAGCGTGTCTACAAACGACGAACCGAGCAAGGCGTGGATGCCCATGGCGAGGACCGGCTCCATCCGATCTGACGACGCCGAGACGCACATGACTAGATCGAGGTCAAGGTGGTGCCTCCCATGAAGAAGGGCAAGCGCGTGGGTGAGTGGTGGCGCATGCCGTGGCGCCGCTGTCGTCGCCTCGGGCAGAGTGTAGACCACGGCATACAGCGGGGTCTGCAGCAGGCCCGCCAGCTCGCAGCATGCGGTCCGCAGCGCAGCACGAAGCGTGCCGATCGGCAGTTGGTTGTGAACAACCGATGGTGCAAGCTCCGATGAGAGCCCGCCGTTGAACAGCAGCAGCTCGTTGACGACCAGCACAATGCGCGAGCACGGGAGCGACTCGATCCAGACCCGCAGCGCGGCAAGGGTGCGCGGCCGAATGACAACTGGCGCCACAGAGAGATGATGCGACGAAGGCGTGACATCAAAAACAACTTCTGCGTCAAAGACCAGTGCCGGCCATGGATCAGTCTTCTCGCCGGGGAGGATGAGCGGGAGACGGATGACGTCGAGCACATCGTACCGCTCGTCCGGCTGGCTTGGATAGCCGCGGATCGAGGTCCACGCCTGCGGCGGCTCAGAGAGCACATCACGGCCAGCGGTGGTCATCGGGCCATACCATCCGTCTGTAACAGCGGCAATGCGCTCCAGAAGCAGCAGTGGGCCTGAGCGGGCGGCGGCGGCCCAGAGGAGCTGGGCGCGACCGCCAGCCGGATCGAGAGCGACAAAGCGGATGCGCAGGCGAGGGATCTTGGTCCGGAGAGCCACAAAGGCAGCCCGGCGCTTGACCCTATCCCCATCGTCGTCGATCAGCACCTCCTCGCCATTCATCAGCATCTCCTTCACCCGATTGACCACCATCCGCAGCGACAAGTGCCTTCCGTCCGCACCGCCATCACCACCACCACTGCTGCGGGCAGGCCCAGACTCGCTAGCAAAGACCTCGGCCGGAGACAGCCGACGGACCCGCTCACGCCCGACTGCTGCATGGTATACACGTCCGTCGTCACCTGGCGGAGCCACCACAAACACCAGTTCGGGCTCTGCCGCCATCCGCCTGCCCCAGTCGAGTCAGGTGGGGTGGGAGGGAGAGTGTGTGATCACAGAGCTGGCAGCCAGCGGCAGGTGGAAGAGGCCGTGTGAAGGGAGGTGATGGAGGCGATGCAAAGGGTGTGTGTGGGGGATTGTGGAGTCGAGGGGGAGGATGATGTAATTGGCAACCGATGAGTGTTATACATGCGGTGATGGAGAAGATGGCAGGGGGCGGGGGGCGGGGGGCCCGGGGGGGGGGGGGGGGGGGGGAAAGCCCCGGGGGGCAATCCCCGGGGGGCAGTCACCCGCTACCACTTCCCAACGATTATCTGTCCTTGGTGTATTCGTTCGTTCGTTCGTTCCGCTCCGTGGCCAAACCACCTGCCACCACACTTTGGCGCATTGGCGCCATTTCCGCCAACTCTGGGGAACGACACGCCGGCACGCGGAGGCGGACAGGCCACACTCCACGCCACACTCCCCCCCCCCCCCCCCTTCCCACTTTCCTTACCCTGAGGGGAAGTCATGTCGGCGAGAGCTAGGGCTAGAGACAAAGCCAGAGCCGGAGCCAGAGCCGGGACCGGAGCCGGAGCACGGGTGACGAGCAGCAGGCAAGAGGACGATGGGTGGCGGCGACGGCGGCTGTGCGAGCTGCATCCGGACGAGGTCAAGGCCGTGCTGGAGATGACGCAGATGGGTGCAGAGGTGCAGGCGGTGAGTGCGGCGCTGGATGCGGCGAGGGAGACGGCTGGGGCTGAGCAGGAGGAAGGCAAGAGTCCCGAGCAGGGAGAGGCTGATCTCCTGCTCGAGTGCCTGGCCGATCACCTCGCCAAGGCCGCCCGCCGCATCACGGCCCTCACCCTCGAGAATGGCGAGCTCAAGTCGGACTCGGCCACCTATCAGCGGCTAAGAACAAAGCTGCGCGAGCGGGCGCTGCAGGTCAAGGCGCTCGGCGATCGGGTTAGTGCCGCCGAGGACGCTGCTGCCGCCGCGCAGGAAGAGGCCAAGGCGGCCAAGGCTGAGCTCGCCGCCGCCAAAGCCCACTATCGCGACAAGGACGCCAGGGTGCGGATGGAGGCTCAAGCGCGGGTCAAGCGCGCGCGGTCAGCGCTCAAAGTTGACAAGCGGGTGACGGCGATGGAGGACGAGGTTCGCCGTGCGCGCGAAGCGGTCAAGGAGGCCCAGCGCGAGGCTGCACGTGCGACCGCGGACGCCCGCAAGGCCGAACGCCGTGCCAGCGATGCCGAGCTCCGCGGTGACAAGCACAAGACTCAGCTCGAGTCGGCCATGGCGGTCTCGCACGCATTCGAGGAGCAGATTCGCCAGCTCAAGGCCAAGCTCGACGCCGCCGCCGCCTTGTACAAGAAGCGCCAAGCGCAGTGGGAGGCGCAAATTGAGGCTGCCAACCAGCGCTACGCTGAGATGCACGATCACTGGTCGTCAATTCACAAGGCCACAGCTGAGCGCATCCTTGCTGCTCAGCAGGGCGAGGCTGCTCAAAGCGAGGCCGATCTCGTCGCTCTGCTGCGTGCAATGCCTGAGCCTGCTCCGCCGACGCACGCGCTCTCGGTCTCCCCGGACCAGAGCGTGCGCGTCGCCGAGCTCGAAAGCCTTGTGGCTCAGCTCGAATCTGCGCTCGACACCTCGCACCAGCAGTATTTGGAGGCGGCGTCTGAGCTTGGGTTGACCAAGGCCGATCTCCGTGCGGCACAGCGCGAGCTCAACGCCGTTCGCGCCGCACCGCCACCGGATGTGGACTCGCTGCCGTCGTCGGATGTGGAAGCTATCGCACTGCGGGCTCGAGTCCGTGAGCTTGAGGCCACGGCTGCTCGCGTCAGTGCACTAGAAGGCGAGCTTGAGCATGCCCATAGCCTACTAGAGGCGCGCGCCGAAGCGAGTGGAACTGACGAGTCGGAGGTGTACACGGCATCCCTTTCTGCTGAGCTTGCTATGGTGCGTGCCAAGGCCAGCCGCTCGGCCGAACGCGTGGCCGAGCTGGAGGCCGAGCTGATGCGGGCTCGTACGCTGCAGGCGGCGAGCACGCCGGCTACGTCCGCGCCAGTGGCGGAGACGCCGCTGACGCCATCGACGTCGCGGACTCAAGCGCAGCTGGCACGCCTGCAGGGAGCAGCCGACGCGCCACTTACACCGGTGCAGGCGCGCGAGGTGTTCAGCGGTGCTGCCGTGGAACCATCGCCAGGAGCAAGCCCTGACCTGACTGCCAAGGTTATTGCACTGCAGGCCATCAACGACGAGAAGGACCAACTGCTCGACACGATGCAGGCAACGTTTGAGCTGCTCGCGTCCGAGGTTCGTGTTGCTCGGGAGCAGGCCAACGATTCCGAGCGCGAGAACAAGATGGCGCGGATAGCGTACGCTGCGCTTCAGGGCCTGGTCTCGACTGCTGAGGCCCTGCAGCTGCGGGGCATCAACGACCTTGGTCTGGACGCCAGCGCAGACGAGGTAGAGGCGCTGAGCGCCCGGGTGGTACAGTCTGCCGGCGACGCCCGACGCGGCGCTGTGGCCGGGCGGCGACAGGCCAAGCAGGCCAAGATGCAGGGCGCAGCGGCAAAGAGCAACGCCGAGGCTGCGCTGGAGGCCAAAGCCAATGAGCTGCGGATTGCCGAGTCGCAGCTCTCGTCGCTCTCGTACGCGATGGAAAAGGACGCTGTTGCTGCCAAGGCGTTCCGCAAAAAGGCGAACGCGGCGCTTCGCGCGGCTCGCGACGAGGCCGCTACGCTGAAGCGGGCCAACACCGCCATCGACGCCGAGCTCATGGAGGCCAAGCGCAGTCTGGCCAGCGTCAAGGCCAAGTTTGCGGCCTGGCGCAAAGAGCACTCTTCGTGTCTCCTGCACAAGGGCGGGAGCCGGGCCGGTGTCCGTAGGGTCCTTGCCATGCTCCAGACCTCGCTTGAGGGCGACCAGATCACTGAAGATGCGGTCGCCATCTCGGGCATTGTCGACTCGTACGTCCGCTGCCTTGCACACTACGATCACGACTCTGCATCCCCATCGGCCCATGGCAAATAGAGTGCAGGGTGCTTGCGCGACTTTGCGATCGTACCTCGGTTGCATGCCATCATGGCGAAGAAAAGAAAGTGGAAGAGATCCATATAGTGTATGTCGTCGAGGGAGAGGGGGGGGAGGGGGGCGATGTGCTGGGTGTCAACCCGGCTGAGTCGCCCTGCGCTGGCGCCGCCCGCGGCCCCCCCTCGCCCCCTCCTCCCCCCCCGGCCCACAGTGGGGGAGTAGGGCTAGGGTGGGACACATAGACTCGTCTTGGTGGCGGCGAGCGAGTGCGGGAAAGCCTTCTACAGCGGCAAGTCGTTGCGGTAGTGCAGCAGGTGTGGAAGTCATGGACGAGCAGAGCCGGAAGCGGCGGCGGAGCAGCGGTGGTGACGGGAGTGTTGGCGGTGAGGGGCGGACGGCCAAGCGGCGGCGGGGCAAGGGCAAGGGCAAGGGCAAGGGCAAGGGCAAGGGCAAGCGGAAGGATCATGGCGAGGAAGGCTGCAAGCCCATGGTCGACGTCGACAAGATTCTTGCTCAGTATGGCGACGCGTCCGGGAGGTCGGCACCGGTGATGGCGCCGGGTTCGGCGGGCGCGATGGGTGGCGGGATCGGGGCCGGGATGGCGGCGGGATTGGCACCCATGGACGATGGCGAGTTTGTGTGGCGCGGAGAAGCGAAGCATGGAGGGCGCAGGCAGGGCGAGGCGTCGGCGGGAAGGGTTAAGGCGAAGCGGAAGCGAAAGCGGAAGCGGAGGCGGAGGTCGAAGCGTACGTCGCAGACCCGGTCGATGTCCGGGAGTGGTAGCGGGCGGGAGGGCTCATCATCGTACTCGGGCGGCGGGCGGCGGATGCGCCACGACTCTTCGTCGTCGTCTGGCAATGATGGAGCGGGGCCGGGCGGGGCGCTTGAGGGCGAGCCGTTGTGGTCGGGATCCGGCGCATGGTCGGTCTCGTCAAGCAGCTTGGGCGCCGAGTGGTCGGACGATGATGGAAGTGGGTGGCTGGCGCAGGTTGTCTCGGTGCGGGCGGTGGAGCCATCGCGGGTTGTACGGCCGCTGCGCAGAGAACGCCGGGCGCCAAGCGATGTGGGCACTGCCGAGGCCGGCACCACCGTCTACCGCAACAAGGACGGAAGCAGGATGACTGCCAGCGAGGCCGCGGCCGCTGAGGCTGCAGCCGCGCGCAAGCGTCGTGGAGAGGTTCCTATCTGGGGCACCGGGCTGGCGCAGATGGCTAGCGCACAGGCACAGGCTGCAGAAGCGCGGCTGGTGGCAGCGACGCCGCTGGCCCAGTCGTCCAAGGACGCCTCGGTTGCCGCACTCATGCAGACCAAGTCACGATGGGACGATCCGATGGCACTGCTAGCATCTTCACAGGCAGCCGGGGGAGCGAGCGGCCAAAGTGGGCCGAGCTTTGCCGATGCGCGGCCACGGTACACCCTCGGCCGGCCGCCGGCCAACCGGTTCGACATTGCGCCAGGCTACCGATGGGACGGCGTCGATCGGTCAAACGGCTTTGAAGCCCGGCACCTTGCCTCGTCTGGTTTCAAGAGCTCATCGACTGCTTGATCCGGCCCTCCTATGAGCCCTGCCGCGGAGTGACTGAACTGGCTGCTAACTGGCGGATGAGCCAGCGATCTTGGGCGCCCAGCGCTCTACGGGCGTCTGCTTCCGAGACGGACACCCGACTCTCCACGCCGACCATGGCCGACACGCGGCTGATTACTGTGCGGGTAAAGAAAGAAGATGGCGGCCAAGTGAACGTCTCGTTCCCCAGCACCGGCACGCTCGCCGAGCTGAAGAAGGCTGTACGTGGGCGGGAGGAGGGCGTGGTGGTTGCAGTTTGGCCAGTGTGAGAGTGCGACCTTCTTCGGGAAATGGCGATCGATCAGGTCGCGATCGATCAGGTCAGAGCAGGGGAGGGGGAGAAGGGGGAGGGGGGGGGGGGGAAAGGACGGCAGCGGCAGAGGGAGAGAGTGACTGACAGACGGGGCGTGGCTTTGTATATGTGTAGGTGGAGGCTGTGACTAAGATTCCGGCCAGCGAGCTGGGGCTGTACTCTGCCCGCGAGCGCAAGCCCAAGGACGTGTACCGTGGATCTGGGCCGGTGGGCGAGCTGGGCATTGTGCATGGGAGCCTGGTGTATGCGGTGGACGGACGGGCGGCGGCGTCACAGCGGTGCAAGCACGCGCCGCAGTTTACTTGCCTCCATTGCAGCAAGGGGGAGGCGACAGGGGTGATGAAGTGCTCGCATCCGGAGGGTGTCTCGTGCCTCATCTGCATGCCGTCCGAGGCCGAGGGCGGAGTGACCGGCGCGGCCAAGTGCTCGCATGGGCCGACGACCCGTTGCATCAACTGCACCGGGAGCAAGAGTGGGAAGGACAAGAAAAAGAAGAAGAAGAAGAAGAAGAAGGCCAAGGCCGGGAGTAGCGGCTGGGTCCGCAAGTGCGCGCATCCGCCATCGATGCGATGCCCGGCGTGCCTGGACGGCGGCGGAGCGTCAGAGCCGGCGGAGCAGGAGTGCACTCATCCGTCAACAATGAGCTGCCCCAACTGCGTGTCATCGTCGTCGGCGTCCGAGGAGGTCGACGAGGACGGCGGGATCCGGTGCCCGTTCCATGGGCCAAACGGGCGGTGCGTTCACTGCATGCACGGAACTATGGGCCAGATGCCTGTCATCAAAAACGCGGCCGAAGCAAGTGTGGCCGGTGTGCAGGTCGACACTCAGGCCATCAACCGGTTCGCGCCTGCGCGGCACGACGGCGCGTTTGTGGCGCAGCGCTCGGGTCTGCTCTTTGGCGTCCTCGACGAGGACTCGGGCGTGGTGCGAATTGACTACATCTACGAGCCGAAGCAGGCGTATGATGAGTGGAGCGGGTTCAGTTACGCCGACGACGATGAGGCGACAGCTGAGTTTGAGCTTGTCCGCACCATGAGCGAGCGACTGGGGCGGAGCCTGGTTGGCTTCATCTTTACGCGGGCGGTGAACGACGCCGAGAACTTTCTGCGTGGCGCTGAGCTGCGTCTGGCGGCGACGCGCATGGCGGCGCTCGGTGCTGACGACAAGTTTGTCACTCTCACCGTCTCCATCCTCGGTGACAACCTGCAGGCGCTGGCCTTCCAGCTCACACCACTTGCGGTGCGACTCGCCAAGAAGCGGTACTTTGCGCCGCCCGACTCGACAGCCTACGGCCACGACGTCTCGGTTGTTCCCGTTGTCAAGGACGTCAAGTTCCAGCACTCGGAGACGCAGGCGCCGCCGGCAGTCTTCTTCTACGCTCGCATCCACTCGGTCACTCCGCACGCTGGCGGCCTCACCGGGGACTTTCCGGTTGAGCACCGCATCGGCGACGCCGCCACGCTCATGCACGTCAAAACCCGGTTCCTCACCCACGAGAACGAGCCGCTCACCGCTGTCTTTGCCGACTTTCACATGCTCCTCTTCCTCGCTCAGGTCCATCTCTTTGAGACCGACGACATTCTCCACATGTGCGATGCCGTCCGTTCGGGTGATGCCGAGCGGCTGGAGGGCTACCACCTCATTCTGCAGCATGCGCAGTGACCAATTGAACGCTTTGCGCTGCTGTGGTTCAGCTGCCACTTGACTCCGGCGGGTGGCTGACTAGCCACGACTGCCATCACAGACATACCAGCCTCACGCGAGGTCCATGTCCTCCACCCATGTGGAGTTGTGGGACGCCGCGCTGCCGTCCTACGATGACGCAGTGGCCGCCAAGGGCCGTCCGGTGCCGGTGGCTGTTGTGCCGCAACCAGCGGCCACACCTGCGCCGCCGGCCATGCCCCCAGCAGCCGAACCTCCCGTCGTGCGGCGACGGGGATCAGTGGCGATGGAGGCCGGCGGCCACAACGTCGTGCGTCTGCAGCCGGCTGGGAACAGAGCTGAATGGACGTGTCCGGCTATGCGAGTCAATGGCTTGGTGGTGTTCTTTGTGGCCATCGTCGCTCTGCACCTCATCGTATATTCGGCCTGCCTCGCTAGCTCGCACGCCTGGCACAATCCGAACGTCGGGCTGATTGTTGGCCTTGTGGTGACGATTGCCGGCGTGCCTGTGGTCTTGCTTACGCTACTGATCGTCAGTGCTGTGTGCACCCGCAGATTTGGCGATGTCATGGCCATCTCGGGCATGTCGGTCGCGGTGATCTCGACCACGCTCGGTGTTGCCACCATTGTCGGATGCATCTATCTGGCGGTGGTGGCTGAGATCGATTCGTCGGACTCGTACTACACTGGGCCTGTCCCGTCGCAGAGCTCGGTCCAGCTCGAGGCGCTGCGCGGCAAGACCTTTGCCGACTTTACCGGCGGCCACGAGTTCCATCTGGATGCGGTGGGCGAGCGGTTCAGCTCGTCGAAGAAGTCCAAGAGCTCAAAGCAAAAGGCAGCGCAGATCGCAGTGCCTGTGACTGCGGTGGGGAGCAGGGAAGTCTCGGTCTTTGCTTGCTCGTGCCGGACGACTGCGATCGGGTGTCGCATCTTTCCGTCGGTGGACTACGCACGTGAGTCACTGTGGTACGATCCGGGACGGAGCCAGGCGGCCGTCATTCACTCGAAGCTCTACAGCAAGTTCTGCCGCGGCGCGGTCGCCGACTCGATCACCCACTTTGCGGACGCTAACTTGCAGCTCGGCGTACCGGCCGACTCTGTGGTCATTGTCGAGTGGGCCGACCTTCCTGCGGCTCGACAGTACGCCCTCAACGTAAGCATCGGCACACTTGTCGGCCTTGGCTTGCCTGGCCTCATCGGCATCGTTCTCATGTACAAGATGCTGCGGTGCATGGACGTCTTTTGACACGTATTGATGCCGCCTATGAGCCGCAGCAGCGGACTCGGGCGCATTGATATGTAGCGTCTGATCGCCATCAGATCTCAGTTGGTAAAGTAGAAGGCAGCGACAAAGCAATTACTGTTGGCGCTGGCAGTGTGTTTCGCATGAGTGTCGCCAAGTAGCACATGCAGGTGGTGCCCCCCCCCCCCCCCCCCCCTCCTTCCCCCGTGACCAACCCACTCTACACCCCCACCCACCGTTCAGCACACGTCTTTCGCCGACCTCCGTCTTGTGAACGACAGTCTCCATGACGTACCGTACGTGCACTCGGGAGGAGGAAGGGGGGAGGGAGGGGGGGGAAGAAGGGCAGGAGTAGAGAGCGAATGTGGTGGTGGTGGTGGTGGTGGGTATGGGGACATGCGGGTGTGAAGGGGTGCAGGGAAGGGTGTGAAGCGTGTGTCCCCCCCCCCCCCCCCCCCTTCGATGGCCAAGACACGACCTTTTTCGGGTGGAAGGCCTTGGCAGGTCGCGAGGGGGGGGGAGGGGGGGAAGAGAAGAGGGAGGCGACTCACGGGGCGGGTATGGGCACACACACACACATACACACACATACATGCGCACATGCACATACACAGGATGGAGCACAGTCGGAGATGGCGGAGGAGCAGGTGGTAGGCCCGAAGCGCGGGAGATGGCGGCGGCGGCGGCTGTCAAGGGCACGCTCTATGTGTTTGGCGGCTACGGTGCTACTGCCGGTGATGGACGGGTGCTGGGCGATCTGTGGATGCTGGACCCGGGGCTGGGCACGTGGTCTGAGCTGGCCTGCCCGCCGGAGGCTGCACCGTCGCCGCGGTTCGGTGCGACTATGGTGGCAGTTGATGCGGTGTTGGTGGTCTTTGGTGGGTGCGGCCCGCGCAACGTGCTCTACGGAGATGTCCACATATTTGACACGCGGACACAGCTCTGGTCGCGGCTGGCGTCGTCGGGCGCCGGGCCGAGCCCGCGATGGGGCTGTGGCGGCGCGGCGCTGGGATCAGGCGAGCGGGTGGTCATCTTTGGCGGTCTGGGGGGCGACGGGTACTCGAACGAGGTCTTTGCCCTCGAGCCGCAGACTGGGGCGTGGGAGGTTGTAGGCACGTCGGGTGCACCGAGCCCGCGGGCGCACGCGGTGGTTGCGATGTGGTCGGGTGGGAGCGAGCGGGTGCCGTGCCTGGTGGTTCACGGCGGGTACTCGTCGAGCGAGGGAGTGCTCGGTGACACATGCGTGCTCAATCTTGCGACAGGCCATTGGCGGATGGTGGAGGTGAGCGCCGAGGCGCGATACGGACACGTTGGAGTGCTCATCGGCTCGACACTGATGGTGCACGGCGGTCTGAGCGCTGCGCGGCGGTCGCCAGTGGCGCTGCTAAGCAATGCGGTGGCGCTCAACCTCGAGGCACCGTCTGCCGGGTGGGTGCCGGCGTCGGGCGAAGACGAAGACGCGGCCGGGATTGGGCGAGCGTTTGCGGTGAGTGCTGCGGTTGACTCGACCGGGTATGTGTTTGGCGGCTACACGGCGCGGGATGTGCTCTCGGCAGAGACGCTTTCGGTGCGGCTTCCGCCGCCGCCGCTGGTCACGCTTGGACTCGCCTCGCTGACGGCAGCCGGGGCTGCGTCTGCGGCAGTGGCGGTGGCATCCTCAGGTGGTTCTGGCGGGCGCGGCAGCGCAGCGGGAGCAAAACCAGCGGTGGTCTCCTCGACAGTGGTGCTCAAGTGCAAATTCAAAGGAGCGTTCAAGCTGCTCCGCATCGAGAGGACGGATCCGTTCACCAAGCTACAGACGCAGATGGACGAGGCGTACAAGACGGCGGTGTACCTTTCATGGCAGCGGGCGGACGGGACGCTGATTGATGTGATCAACGCAGACGACTTTGCGTACATGCTTGACGAACACGCGAGCAAGAAGAAGATCGATCTCATTGTCCAGTGCGCGTCTGGGTCCGGGTCTGGGACGTCGGGCGGTGCCGTGCCGGGAACGCCGGACTCGCTGGTGCCTGGGCACGCTGGCTTTCCGCGGGTGTCGTCGCAGCCGACAATGGGCGGGTCCAGCGGCTCGCCGCGTGCGAGTGTGCCGGCGAGTGTGCCGGCGTCTGGACTCAACGCGTCAATGCCTGTGATGGGCGCGACGACGCGTGGGCAGAAGCTGGGGGTGCGGTCGACGGCGGCGATGCGGATGTCGCAGCAGGGCCGACCGACGTACGGGCCGTCAGGGACGATCCACTGGCAGAAGCGCGAGCTTCTGGGGTCGGGCGCGTTCGGCAAGGTGTACCTGGGCATGAACGAGGCGACGGCGGAGCTGATGGCGGTCAAGCAGGTGGTGCTCGACAACATCTCCGAGTCAAACCAGGAAGAGCTGCTGGAGGTGGAGGGCGAGATTGCGATTCTGCAGGAGCTCTCGCACAAGCACATTGTTCGGTACATTGCGACTGAGCGGGCGACCAACGAGGACGGGCAAGCTGTGCTCAACATTTTCCTCGAGTACGTGCCCGGCGGCTCGCTGGCCAAGCTCATCCACAAGTACCCGGTGTCGGAGCGTGTGACGCGATCATACCTCAAGCAAGTTCTGCTGGGGCTAGAGTACCTCCACGAGAACGGCATTGTCCACCGCGACATCAAGTGCGCCAACATCCTTATTGCACCGGCGCAGCAGACCATCATCAAGCTCACAGACTTTGGGGCGTCCAAGCCGCTCATCGAGTCAGGGACGATGTCGTCGGCGGCGCTGCACTCGTTCAAGGGCACGCCGTTTTTATGGCGCCCGAGGTTGTTCTGCAGCAGCCGTACAACTCCCGGTGTGACATCTGGTCTGTCGGGTGTGTGGCCATCGAGCTGCTTACCGGGCGGCCGCCGTGGTCCGAGTTCTCGCCGGTTACGGCGCTGTTTAAGATCGGCAAGTCGAACGACTCACCAAAGTACCCGGAGGGGCTCTCTGCGGCGGGCATCGACTTTCTCAACCTCTGTTTCCGGCGCGATCCAAACCAGCGGCCGTCGGCGGCGGATCTGCTGCAGCACCCGTGGATTGCATCTGTGGACGAGGTTGCGGTCCCATCACCGACGCCTGCGATGGGCGGGGGACCGTCGGCGATGGGTGCGAGTGCGACGCCGTCGCCGACCGGGATGGCGACCATGGGGATGAACCCAATGCAGTCTGTGGGCGGGATGAACCCGATGCAGTCTGTGGGCGGTGGGGGCTACCCTGGCCACCACGGTGGCGCGCCGAGTGGGTACCCGGGAGCGGGCGGGATGCACGGCGGAGTGTCTGTGGCCGGCCCGCCGCCGGCATCGTCGGCCTTACCGGGCTACCATCCAGGGTTTTCGCCGCAGACGACGCCGACGTCGAGCTACACGCCTGCAAATGGGTTTGCGGCAGGGTTTGCGGGCGCATCACCGACGGCGGGCACCGCAAACCACGCGGTTGGCCCCGGTGGAGTGGCGCTGGGGCAGCAGCCAGCGTTTTCGTCGCCGGCGGACGTGTACTCGCTCGCGCTCTCTGAGCCGGAGCACCTCTCGCCCGAGGCGTTCTGGGAACGGTATTTTGGGGTTCAGGCGCAGGCGGTGCTGATGCCAAACTTCCTCTCTGCGCTTCAGGCGTACCTTGGGCTGTCACTCACAGCCGAGCAGCAGGGCTATCTCAACGAGCTGTTCAACCCGCGCGGGCTTGGACAGCTCACGCTCGATTCGCTCAAGTATGCATTGCAGTGGTTCGGACCGCTGCATGAGAGCGTGCGGATCTGCACCGAACTGATGTCGAACCTCTGGTTCCATGGATTTATCAACAAGGATCAGACGGCGCGGGTGCTGACCAACGCGGCGCCGGGCGAGTTCCTGGTCCGTGTCTCTGAGTCGACGTCCGGCGGCTTTGTGGTGGCGTACATCGACTCGCGTGGCGCGGTTATCCAGTCCAAGCTGTACTCTGCGCCTGGCCGCGGCTACACGGGCGACCAGGGCCACACGTTCTACGACTCGCTGCCGGCGCTCATCCAGGCGTACTCGGCCAAGCTGCGGATGGGCAAGCCGCGAATGAGCTCGGACACGTCGGGCTACACGCAGCTCTCGATCTGAGAGCGGCGGCTCAGAGCTCGTTGAGCGAAGAGACAGCGTCGGTAAAGACATCGGTGAGATGGAGCGGGCGGTAGCGGGTCGAGCCGGTGACCGAGGCGTAGAGGTAGTCTGCGGCGGCGGCGACCGAGTCACCGATGGCAGCGGACCAGCAAAGAGCGGTGTCTGCGGCGTAGACAGTGGTGTCTGCAGCAGTGGCGACAAGGAGCGAGGTGCCCTCGAGGGCAGCGTCTGCAGCAGCGACGGCGATCGAGCCGAGCGCCGAGGCCTGAATGGACTCGGAGGTGCGGGCGACAGTGAGTGAGATGTCGTCGGCAAAGAGGGCGATGTCGAGCGGGTCGACCGAGAGCGCACGGACAGCTGACTGAATACGGCGGACGGTCTCGACCTGGTCGTCGGTGATGGCGGCGCGGAGCTGCCTGTCAAGGGCGGCCTTGGCCAGAGCGAGGAGTGTGGGCGAGGGGCGGAAGGTGGCCTTGAGCTCACGCTCAAAGTTGCAAAGCGCGCAGTCGGGCGAGTGCGGGAGGGTGACCGACTGAAGGTCGACGACAAGGACGCCACACTTTGGGCAGCGGACGCCGCGGTCGCGGATGAGCTGCTGCAGCGCCGTTGGGTCTGTCGGTAGGGTTGCGCTCGACGCCAGCGAGAGGGTGAGCGGTGAAATGGGCACGTCAAAGGCGGGAAGGTAGGCGCGCATGGAGCGGAGGAACTCCAGCTTGAGGTCGAGGACCGACGATCCAGGCTCAGGCTCGGTCGAGCCGAGGCCTGCCGATGCGCCGAGGCCGCCGCCGGCGTGGGCCATGAGATAGAGGCCGGTGAGAATGGCGTGGACGTCAAACGGCGAGTTCCACAGGCGTTTGTCGGCGAGGGCCGGGAGGTGCGAGGCGGCAAGGGTCTCGAGGCGGGTGACATAGGCGTCGAACGGGTCGTCGACAATAATCCACGAGTCTGAGCCGGAGAGCTCGGCGGCGGTGAGGCAGCACGAGGAGGAGACCGACGATGGGGTGGAGCTTGTGGACGACGAGGCCGGCGGAGTGCCGACAAGAACAAAGTCTTCATCGATGGCAGCATTGGCGCCCGGCAAAGCGCCAAAGACGAGGTAGTCGACGTGGGGCCAGATGTCCGGCGAGGGCGAGAGGGCGCGGACAAAGGCGTCGTAGACAGCGGCCTCAAAGGGAAAGACCGAGCCGTCAAGAAGAGCGGCGGAGAGGAGGGCCGAGAAGAGGACGATCTGCAGCGGCTGCGAGGCAGCTAACTGCGGGGCGGCGGCGACGAGAGCGCGGACGGTCTTGGAGACAAACGAGGCGACCTTGAGCTCGCGCTGCGCGACGTGGCCGATGGCTTGCGTGGAAAAGTACGACCATCCCGAGGAGGCAAGGAGTGAGACAATGGGCACGGCCGACTTGAGCATGGTCATCTCGACGAGCTTGACGCCGATGGGCTTGGCGACGAGCGAGAAGACGCGGGACGAGACATGCAACAGCGCATGTTCATCGCCCGCGGCGGCGCGCACAAACGAGCGGCGGACGTCTGCGGCTGAGAGGTTGAACGGGCCCTCGGGATCGTAGAGGCCGAGGCCCGAGGTGGCAAGGTGGTACATGCGGAGGATAAGCGCCTCGGGCAGGCTCGGGGTGGCGGTGTCCTCAAAGTCGTACCCGTAGTTGAGAGCGAGGTCCATGACCATGCCGACCTGGATCTGTGTGGTAAGGACCATTTCTGCGGCGAGTGCGGTGCCGACGGCCGAGTAGGCGGCGCCTGCTGCGAGCAAGCCGGTGCCCAAGGCGGCGGCGGATGCAGCAGTGGAGGCGGCGGCAGACGAGGCGCCGCAGAGGACCACCTTGCGGCAGGCGGCGGTGATGATGGGCTCTGCGGCGGCATCGCGCTCGGCGAGCGGAGTGGCGGCCCGGAGGACGGTGCTCCTATGCGCCCGGGCCTCCGGTGGCGGAAGGGTGGACGAGAGGAGGGTGACAACGAGGCGGGCGAACCACGAGCCGTCGCGGAACTCTGCGGGGCGGAAGGAGGGCGAGAGCGAGGAGAGTGGGGCGAGCGGGGCGGGTGGTGCAGGCTTGGCGGGCGGTGCAGGCTTGGCGGGCGGTGCAGGCTTGGCGGGCGGTTGTGCGGGAGAGTTTGTGGTTGGGGATGGCCGTAGGTGGGTGAGGGCACCGACGGCGGGGAAGGCCGCGGGAGGGGTGAGGCTCGTGGGTGCGTAGGCCGCGGCGAGGAGGAGAGCGAGGGAGGAGGAGGAGGGCATGGGGGGGCAAGCATGGGCTCGGCAATGGCAAAGAGCACAGGATCGTCAAGGGAGAGCACGGTTGGTTGGCCGTGCTCTGGGGTGGCCATGGGAAGGCAGGGCGGGTTGGGGGGGGAGGAGGAGAGGGGTGGGGGGGGGGGTGTTCCATTCCTGCACCTGTTAATGACATGGCATGGCATGTTGGGGGTAATTGATGGGTTTGTTGTTCAGTTTATCGATGGGTTTGTTGTTCAGTTAATCGATGGGTTTGTTGTTCAGTTTATCGATGGGTTTGTTGTTCAGTTTATCGATGGGTTTGTTGTTCAGTTTATCGATGGGTTTGTTGTTCAGTTAATCGATGGGTTTGTTGTTCAGTTAATCGATGGGTTTGTTGTTCAGTTAATCGATGGGTTTGTTGTTCAGTTTATCGATGGGTGGTCAATCGATAGGATACCCAATTAATCGATGGGTTTGTTGTTGGAACCATCGAGTGGCTCGTCGTTAGCCTCAAACCGACAGACACCCCCTGGAGGGCGACCACTCGACGCAGAAGAAAGAGCGACATGTCCAACTACGGATACTACGAGGACCAGGGCCAGGCAATGGCACCATCGGGAACCCCCCGTGACCTCGGCGAGATCATCGAGAAGATCCGTGCTGCATGCCTCGCCCGTGGCGCCTCGGGCATCAAGGGCCTCTCAAAGTGGGTCCGTGTCATGGACGACGACAACTCGGGCTGCATCTCTGTCCCCGAGTTTGCCAAGGGCCTGCGCGACTACGGCGTCCACGTGAGCCAGGAGGTACGCCCCTTCCTCCCCCTTTCCTTGCCATCCCCCCCCCCTGCCCCCTGCCCCCTGCCCCCCTGCCCCTACCCTACCCCCCCCGGAACCGTCCCGGAAGAGCTAACGGCGACTTCGTGAACATGGCCCTGTTGCTGCGGCCCTTCCCCTTCTCACACTGGACACTCACCACCGAACACCCACACACACCCGCACCCATGCCCATACCCACACCTATACATACCCATGTACATACCCATGTCCGTACACCCCCAACCATCGGCTTCTTCACTCCCTCTCGCCTTCTCCTCCCTCGGACAGGAGGTCGAGCGGCTGGCGCAGTACTTTGACACCAACGGCGATGGGACGATCAACTTTGATGAGATGCTGTACCATCTGCGCCCGCCCATGTCGGACTCTCGTCTTGCTCTCATTGATCAGGCCTTCCGCAAGATCGATGTCACCGGAGATGGTGTCGTCACTGTCGAGGATCTGGCCCACTCGTACGACCCCCGTCATCACCCCAAGTACATGTCTGGCGAGTGGGACGCAGAGAAGGTCTTCCTCCAGTTCCTCCGCTCCTTTGACTCGCCTGCAAACCCCGATGGCGTCGTCACCAAGCAGGAGTTCGAGTCCTACTACTGTACGTACACCATGACCCCCTCCCCCTCCCCCCCCCCCCCCCCCCTCCCAACTCACTCACCAACGCACTCACTCTCTCCCCTCTTCTATCGTGTCTGCTACAGGGGGCGTTTCGGCCAGCTTGGACAAGGACGTCATGTTTGATCTCATGATGCGCAACTCGTGGGGCCTTTAACCAGCCCACTTTGCCAACCCATAAACTCCGCTTCATTCCGCCTCACGACCGCGGCGCAAGCGCAATCATGGCAGCCACAAACTCGCGGCGACTCACGAGTCCATCGGCGCCCCCGTCAGCCGGGATGGCGTCGAAAGGCGCGCCGGCGTCGTTAAGCAGCGATCGCGCCATGTTGCGCGGAAGCGCGCCGGCGCCAGACACGTCGCAGGCGTCAAACAGCGCGCCGGCCTCAGTCGCCATCGCCTCCATCACCGCCAACACCTCGGCTCCCGCAGTAGCCTCCCGGAACGAGACTAGCTCGTCGGCGCGTGCCGCCACTACGCCATCCACAGCCGCCCGCCCGGCCTCCGGCACCGCAAACGGGAGATGTCGCAAGAGAATCCCGAGGCCTGCGCCAGAGAGGCCGTCAACCTCGCCATCGTCCAGATCTTCGCCGACCTCGGCTGCCGCCGCCACCTCCCATCGCTCCGGAGCAGCGCATGCAGCAGCTACAGCGTCCATCACCCTCGCCCGGGCCACCGGCCGCAGCGGCTCCACGACCGGAGCGAGCCCATCGGCCGCCTTCTCCTCGGCCGCGGCCATGGCTGCAAACGCCTGCGCGAGCGCATGAATCGGCCGCTCCGGCCGCTCCTCCAGCAACTGCACCAGCGCCTTCTCCGCCGTCTCGGCTACCGCCACCACCACCTCGTCCGCCCCGCGTCGCTGCTTTCCACGCCCCTCACCACCGCTCGACCTGTCACCGCCGCGCTCGCGGTGAGCTGCACCTCCCCACACCCAAGCCTCTCCATACAGTGTATTTGAGTCGTTACCTACCTCCGCGGGCCGCCTCGGGTGCGGCGCCGGCCTCCGGTCCGTCGGCGGTGCATGTGAGTGGAGTGGTCGCTGAGCGAGTCACCAAGTCACCGACTGCCGAGCGACAGGTTCGCAAGGAGCGCCTCGATGTGGGCGGCGGCGTCGACCTCATCGACGGCTACAGCCTTGAGATACAGCCGCGGAAGCGCGAGCGTCGGCGCATGGACCCCGTCGACAAGCAGCGTTTTGAACCGGAGCACGCCCGCCAGCGGCGGAGGGAGATCGTCGGGCGTGGTAGTGACAGCTGCGTCGGACCGTGCTCGCGCCACCCGCCGGACTGCCATCCAGACCTGTCGCGCTACCCGTGGCGCATTTGCAGCCCGCGCCAGCTGCCGAAGCTCGTGCTCACGCGGATCGGCAAGTGCTTCTGGCTTGGAGACGAGCTCCAGTCGGGTGCCTTGCCGTGCAAAGATCAACGCGCCGTGCCGCTTGGCCATCGCCGCCATCATCTGCCCGCGCCGCCGCGAGAGGCCGAGCACCCGCCAAACGAGATCGCCGTCAACAAAGACCGTCGCCTCGGCACTGCCGTCATCGACAAAGACCGTCGCGTCGAGGAAGAACTTGCTCGGCGCGCGGACGCACCCGGCCGCGCACCGGCCCGGGATTCCCAGCGTCTCGCCACACCCGAGACACTTCCATACCAGCCGCAGACCAGAGAGCGCAGTGATCGAGCCGCGGATCCGCACTACCCGCCGCATGATCGTCCCTACCGCGTAGTACTGCGCCAGCGGAAAGGCGGGCTCCAGCCGCGCCTCCACTGCAGCATCGCATGTTTCGCTCTCCACCCAGCCACGGACCACCACGCTCGTTGTCGCCGCCATGACCAGGTAGATGTTACCCGACCGCGAGATCTTGCACATGACCCGCGAGAGCTCGACTCGCGCGCCCGAAACAAGGCCACCAATCCATCCAAACTGTGCAGTGTCCACATACCACGACAACGTGTGCGCCGCTCGCGTATCGCGGAGCGTCACGCACCACGTCATCGCCGGCTCGCCACTCGCCTCGCGCGCCACAACAAGCGCCTCGACGCTCACTACACGCTCGTAGTTTTCTGGGTACCGGTACGCCGAAATGGGCAGCGTTACCAGCGCCAGCTCGCCGATCGAGCTCGGAACCTCAGCGGCGTCATCGTGTGCACGCAGCGCACGCACAATCGCCGCCACCTTCTCTGACGCCACCAGCGGAACGTTTCCGCCAAGCGCGGCGGCTTCGTCGTCACCAATAACGCCGACAGACTCAACAACAGCGTTGTCGCTGAGTGTGAGGACCGGAAAGACGCCAGCAGCCGCAGTCGTCACCGCACCGAGCCGCGACGCTTGGAACTTGCGCGAGAACGCACTCAAATTGGTCGCCGGCGACGCGCCGACCCGCCCGCCCAGCGCGACCAGCAGCTGGGCCAGGCTCCGCACCATCGCACGGCTCCCATCCGGCAGCGTCGCCAGAACGTTGAACATGTAGTACAGGCAACGCGGGTGGAGAATTGGACGGTGAAGGAGCGCAGATGGCTCGAGCACAAGCAGCCCTGCAGTGACTGGCGCAAGCGCACCTGGAGGCGGGAGGAGCTTGACTTCGGCGTGGCATCGACCGTCCATCACGGGCGAGACGTGGACAACGTAAATCAGCAGCGCGCCGGGCCACTCCCGCTCGACTCCATCGGTGAGCTCGCAAAGCACTTTTGCTCCCAAATACGGCTTGAGCACGCCTGACGGTACCGTCCGTGCCCGCCGTCCGTCCACAGACTCAATGAGCGTGTGGTACGGCGCCGGCGTCGCTTCCGGCACCGCCATTACCAGCTCGTTTGTGGAGAACGGGTCAGGTTTCTGCGGCGGCGTTAGCGTTGTCGCCGTGCTCGGCAGCGGCGGTGGCGGTGGCGGGAGTGCGATGGCGCGCATGAGCGGAAATAGGCGCTCATGGAGGAGGCATCGAGCGTTTTGCAACGCGCACGCCACAAACGTCACGCTGCCGTCGTCGTCCACAACTCGAAAGTCGGTCACGAGGTAGAGGTGCCCGAGCGAGGATGACCGTACCACGCTGCGAGCATCCGACGCTACAATCGGAACAAGAGCACGGTCGTCGCGGAGCGCAAGACCGCCGCGGTACGGAACTAGAAAGCCGACAAGGGCTCCCCCGGGTGCTCGTGCCTTGTCGAGCTGCGATGGGACCGCAACTTGCGGACGCGCGTCGTCGTCTGAACCGAAGCACGCCAGATGGCACCCGCCAGGATGTGCCAGAAACTCAGAGGTGACGTTGCGTTTGGCCGAAAGCGCGCCCAACGCTTTGAGCAGGTAGTGCGCGAGGCCGATGTCGATGCCCGAAGCCCGCTCTGAGCCGCGAATGTGCTTGCGCTTGAGCGAGGCATGGAACGCAGTCTCGAGCGTCGCTGCCAGCTTGTTGAACAGCAGATAGTAGTCAAGCCAAGTCATGGTCTTAAAGTGCAGCGCCATCGCTCGTGAAGCGAGACGGAACGGCGGGACAAGGCTACCGGTTAACGCGGCTGTAGGCGGCGGTGCAACAAGCTCGATCGTCGAGTACGAGCACGCGCCGAGGCCAGCGAAAAGCGACGTTTCCGGATCCAGCACAACATGCACGTTGCAGGCACGAATTCGGGAACCGACAACAAGAACCAGCCCCAGCGCCGACGTCGGGTGGTGCGAAAGCAAGAGGCGGATGGCGCCGTCGAGCATGACACTGGCCTCCTCCGGAGCGACGGCGGTAATGACTCCGCGATACGCAATGCAGGCGGTCCGCGAGAGGAGCGGCGGCGGGAGCTGGGAAGCAGCTTTCGGCGAGACTGCACGGCCGGAGAGACTGCGAAGCCGCTTGGCCGCTGATCCAGGGAGCGGCGGCGGAGCGTAGTTGGGATCCCAGGCGTGGACCGATCCGCCCGTGGACGAGACTGCAAACACCGCGCGCTCATTAGCCGTGCCTTGAAGCATTGCCTTGCTGCGAACATTGGTGATGAGTACCGAGGCACCGAGCGCAAGAAACGGGTACCACCGGACTGGGCGAGGCCCAGCAAAGATGACACAGGTGGCGACGCCGCCCGACTCGAGCTCGATGAAGAACGAGAGCGTGCCTGCGCCCCAGCGATGAATAGGCGACTTGGCGACGAGTCTGCCAAAGATGGCAAGCTTGGCACTGGCACGGCGCTTACGCTTTGCGCCTGGCCGCGGATCCGGAAGCGACGGGCGGGTGGCATCGGTGGCGAGCATGGCCTGCGCGACCGAGAGCGGCGCATGCGCCTCGATCAGGAACGGCGTGCTAGCCGGTGGCGCACCAAGTGCAACTATCTGTGTGGCGTAGAGCACAACAGCCGGACGGCCGCGAGCAGATCGAGCTAGGGTACCCCACACGACGACCGGCGCGCCTTGGGCATGAGGACCGAGCAGGGCCGGCGGAGCGACGAGAGCCACGGCTGCGCCCGCGTTGACAGAGCGGGTCGAATCGTGGCATGCAGCATCGAGGTCAATGATAACCAGCGCACCTGGGACAACCGGCGAGGCTACCAGCCGGCCGATGACGGTGGTGGCTGCCGGCGCGGGGGTTGGCGCCAAGCCTGCGCCAGCAGCGGCGGCGGCAGCCGACGGCGAGGCGAAGGGCACACATGCTGGCGGTGGAAGTGGCTCCAGAGCCTCGGTATACGCCACCTTGAGGCGCTCAGCATACGCTATGGCTGCGGGAGGAAGGGCATCGAGGAGGGCAGCCAAGGCTGGCGCCATTCACGCGAGGTGGGCCGGGTGCGTGAGAGAGGGGTGGGGTGGCTGTGGGCAAAGCGGGGAACCACGACCTTTTTGGGGTTGGCGTTGGCGGCCGGCAAGTTTCGAGTGGAGACGGGCTGTGCTCTACTTGCGTTTGCTGCTCATAAAGGTACTGAGACCATATGGATCGGCGGCGGGGGCGGCGGCCGGGTCGATAGAGGTGGGCTGGGCCTGGGATGTCGAGGCGGCGGTCGAGGCACCGTGCTTCTCGAACTCGACCGGGCGGCCGGCCTGGCGCGAGGAGGAGCCGGTGAAGGCCTTGCTGGCGGTGGCGGCGATGGTCTCTGCCGAGGGGACAAAGGCCCGCTGGCGCTGGGCAGCAAAGAGCGAGCCGGAGAAGCCAGCGCCGCCATCCTTGTCGGGGTCGATGGTGTCGCCAAGCCCGCCTGCGCGGTTGAAAAGGCGCTGGTCGTACATGGCGTCAGCCGAGGCGGTGGGCTTGGCGCGGCCGAGGGCGACGAGCTCGGAGATGTCACGGGTGGCGTCGCGCGATTGACCCGAGGCCGCACGGCGGCGCTCACGCTCGCGCTGCTTGCGACGCTCCTCACGGATGGCGTCGCGCTCGGCGCGTGAGGTGGCCGAGACCGGGGCGGCAGCGGCCGAAGAGTCCTCGGCGGCAGCGGCAACGTCGGCGACCGGGGCGGCTGAGACCCGTGGCAGCTTGGCCGGGCGGGCGTTGTCCGAGTATGAGTACGAGTACGAGTACGAGTAGGCGCCGTCGTCGGCGGCAGTGCTGGCACCGCCCTGGGTCTTTGTCCCGCGCTTGCGCTTGAGGTCTGGCCGCAGTGGCGCAGCCTGAGCGAGCGGGGTGCCGCGGTCGCGCGGCGGAAGCGGCACCATGTTGGGGTTGCCACCTGCAGCGGCGGCACCAGCGCGTGCTGCGCTCGGCCCGGCGAGCTGCTGCAGCCGACGGCGCTCGCGAGCCTCACGGGCAACCTCGCGCAGCGTCTCATCCTCCTTGGCCTGCTCCTTGAGCTTCATCTGCTTCTCAACCTTTGCCATGGCCTCAACTTGCTCGCGAGCGGCGGCCTCGGCAATCTGCAAGGCGTCGGTGAGCTTGGCAAACTTGTCCGAGATTGCCGGGGCGACGAGGCCACGGCCTTCAAAGGCGAGGCGTTTGTCGAGCGGAACCGCGTCACCGCGCGGGTTCTTCCAGTTGGAGATGGCCGGCGGGATGTTGAGGTTGGCCTTCTCGGCCTTGGACGGCTTGTGCTCGGGCGAGTGCAGGATCGGGACAGGCGCCTCTTTCTGCCGGCCACCCGGCCGCTTCTTGTGGCGGAAGCGCGACGGCTCGAGCGCGTCGACCGGCATGTCGACCATCTGGATGACTCGTTGCCGGATGCCAGTTTTGGCGGCGGCGGCGGTCGGCGGAGTGTACTTGACAAAGGTGGCGTTACCGACCATGTTGGCGTCGCCGAGAGTGGCACGGCCACGGACGCGGGCGTCGGTCATGGTTGCGTGCTTGACGTTCATCAGCGCATTGCGAGTGGCCTCGACATTGGCAGCAATGTCGTCGGCCGATGGGCGCTCCAGCGCAGCACCCGCCCCGCCAGCCTCGATCAGCGCGCTCGGGCCCGAGTACACGGTAACGCTCTGCGAGTGGCCAGCGCGGGCGACCGCGTCCCACGACGTGGTCCCCGAGGCATCGACGGTTGCGGCGAGGGTGGACGTTGTCCTCCCCCACGACCCATCCCCCGTGGGTACTGGTCAACATGGATCTCGGGATACGCACCACCGTCGTCATAGTCGGCCTCTGTCCGCGGAACCCAGCCCGAGTTGGCCCGCTGTCCGTAGGCCGGGACGGGCGCCTTGGACTTGCCTCCCTGACCAGCAGAGGGCAGAGCCTCCACAGCCTTGGCCGCCGGAAGTGTGGACTTGCGGGTAGGCGCAGGAAGGAGCGACGCCAACGAGGACATGTTTCCCCCCTTGTGTAGGTCGGGTGGGGTGGTGACGTGCCCGGCTTGCCCCTGGCTGTCCCCTGTCCTTGTTGTCGAGTCGCCTTGGTTGGATTCGGGTTCGGCGCGCCCGTCGATGTGGCCATCGGGGAGGGGGGTACGGAGAAGCCCAAGGATCGTGTTTGTGGAGCTGGGATGTGGAATCTGGAGAGGGGGTGATATGCAATGTTTGTATCACCTTCTACTTCCCACGTACCGATGTGAGTCTGGATGCGGTAGATGGCATGTCCCCTGGTCTGCCTGGGGGGGGGCGGTCTGCTTGGGGGGTGGGCCTTGGAGCGGGCTCTATCTACGGGAATGCGGTGGTGGTATTTGTTCTATGCAGCGAGAACGAGGCGATCATGGTTTGCGAGGGTGTATCAGCGCAATGACTCTACTCCGATCAGTCCCCACTTCGCACATGCGTAATATTGGGGTTGGGGTGGGGAAGGGAGGGGAAGGGAAGGGCGGGATACGAAGAAGCAGTTGTGACAAGGTAATGGAATCGACGAATGTGACGAGCAATTTGCGATTCAGAAGCGAACGAACGAACGAATGAACGAGCGAATGAATGAATGAACGCATGAACGAACGAACGAATGAACGAACGAACGAGCGAACGAATGAATGAATGAATAACGAGCGAACGAATGAACGAGCGAATGAGTGAATGAACGAATGAATGAATGAACGAACGAACGCATGAACGAACGAACGAATGAATGAACGAATGAACGAACGCATGAACGAACGAACGCATGAACGAGCGAACGAACGAACGAACCATCGTTCCGCTAAGAGAGGAGAGCATGGAAGGTGTAGCAGGCGGCGGAAGGGGAGGGGGGAAGGAGAAGGGAGTATACCTGACGCAGAAGGGAGGAAGAGGAAGGAACATGTCGGGTAGTGAGCAGGAGAAGCTGTTGCTTATGCAGCAGCAGCTCATGCAGGCGCAGAAGCAGATGCTGGCTGACGCTGCTGCTGCGGGTGGAGGAGGAGGTCCGCACGGGCAAGGGTCGCAAGCTGGACAAGCAGCACAGGCTGGTCACCCCGGTATGGCTCACGTGCAGGCACAGGCTCCACCAGCAGGTGCCCCGGCGGATGATGGATCGTTTGAGGCTCGGCTGGTGGCAGCACAGGCACAGGCACAGGCACAGGCGGTGGAGACTGCTCGTGGACAAGCCCAGGCGCTGTACGAGAACGTGCTGCGCACGGCCATGGCCGAGGCGCAGGCCGAGTACTCGCACCACCTTGCTTCGGCCATGCCGACTGAGATTGCCAAACAGGCGTACGATGCTAGGGTGGCGGAGGCTCAGAAGGCCGCCACCGATCAGTCGCAGGCGCTGTATGGGCAGGTCGCAGGCGCTGTATGGGCAGGTCGTCCAGCACGAGTACGCCCAAATCGAGGCCCAGATGAACGCCACAGGCAGAGGCGCAGGCACGGGCACAGGCAGAGGCGCAGGCACGGGCACAGGCAGAGGCGCAGGCACGGGCACAGGCAGAGGCGCAGGCACGGGCGCAGGCAGAGGCACAGGCACGGGCACAGGCAGAGGCGCAGGCACGGGCACAGGCAGAGGCGCAGGCACGGGCGCAGGCAGAAGCGCAGGTACGGGCGCAGGCAGAAGCGCAGGCACGGGCACATGCAGAGGCGCAGGCACGGGCACATGCAGAGGCGCAGGCAAGGGCACAAGCTGAACATGCAGCTGCGCAGGCAGCTGCACAAGTCGAGGCTGCGTACAAAGAGCAGATGATGCGGGCGCAGGCCGATCAGGCAGCGGCGCAAGCGCAGGCACATGCGCAGTATCAGGAGCAGCTGGCACAGGCGCATGCCCACACCCAGGCCGAGGCACAGGCGCGGGCGCAGTATGAGAAGCAGCTGGAGCAGGCGCAGGCCAACCAAGTCCAGGCCCAGATGGAGGCGCAGGCGTGGTATGACGCGCAGATGCGGGCCGTACAGTCCAAAACCCAGGCACAGCTTGCCGAGCTCGCAGCGTACGCCCAGCACCTGGAGCAGCTGCGCAAGCAGGAGCGTGAAGAGCTCGAGCAGCTGAGGCTCTCGGAGCGGGCGCAGATGGAGCAGGAGATGCTCAAGCTCATCGACGAAAATCGGCGGATTTCGTCACTGCCGCCGGCAACCGCCCCGCCGGCGCCAGCGCCGGTATCGGCCCATGCACCCTACGCCACCTCGTACCCGGGCGTCGACATGCCGAGCCCATATCCATCCCACTATCCGAGTCACATGCCGTACAGCGAGCCGAACTCGCGGCAGCGGTCCTCGTCGTCCTCGTCGTCATCCTCGTCGTCCGACAATCCGGCGCCGGACGCGTTCGAAGACGGTACCCTGTTTGACATGGGCAACGAGGCGGACTGCCACCCGCCGCTTGCTACCATCTCAGAGTGGTCCTATCCACAGCTCCGCGACACGGTCAACAACTGCACCCACGCATCGGTGCTCGAGGCTGCCATGATTGAGCTTGTGGCACGGCAGGCCGACGGCGACGTGCCGGACAACCACGGGACAGCGACATCGACAGCATCAGCCACCTCGCCGTTTGCTACCTCGTTCTCTAGCTCGATGAGCCAGGCGAGCCTCTCGCTGCACGTGCCCGAGGCAGTCAAGTTTCCAGCCTCGCTGCCAAACAAGTGGGTGGCGGCATCGGTGGTGCTGGAGATTTCGCCATCGGGTGTGACGGTCATCCCCAACTCGTCGTTCCGGTCCAAGACGCCGGTCCACTACCCGATCAGTTGGATCGACGCCTACCGGGTGGAGGAGCACAAGGGCAAAGCTGCGTTTGGCATCTCGATCCGCAAGGACGGCAAGGCTGATGAGAAGATTACCACCTGCTTCTTGGCGGGTTCGCGGGCCGATGCTGACCGCATGCGCGAGCTCGTCGGCATCCACGTCCGAAATCACCTCGCCATCGCTTCCAAGCCCATGCCCGAGTTCTGGGAGGAGTGTGCAACAGACTTTGGCCGGCCGTACTACGCAAATCACTCGACCCGCGAGACGTCGTGGGTCGACCCGCGACTGCTCGCAGCGTCGGGCGGTGCGGCACCAAGCTCGTCGTCGTTGTCATCGGCTGCGCCAGCAGCGTCTGCACCTCCGGCAGCGAGCTCGCTGTCGCCACCGTGGGCCACAGTGACACCCTCGGCCCCAGCATCAGGCGGCGGAGGCTCGTGGTCGTGCTCGGCATGTACCTTTGCCAACTCGGGCGGCGAATCGTGTGCCATGTGCGGCTCGGCGCGCTCAGGCAGGACAGCAACTCCGTCGCCGGCAGCGCCGCGGCAGCCGTCGCCGCGGCCGTCGCCGCGGCCGCCATCCGTGCCATCGCAGCCGTCGGGCCCGACCTGGTCGTGCTCGGTCTGCACCTTTGACAACAGCCCCGGCGCGCTCGCGTGCTCGATGTGCTCGACGCCCAAGGGCACGTCGGCACCAGTTGGCGGCGGATCGTACAGCAGCGACTCGCATGGGAACACCGGCGGGCGGCGTCCGGCACCGCAACCTGCAGTGTCTGCAGCCGCGCCGGCGGCGCCGTCTCTCTACCCGTCGCTGCCGCCGGCGTCGAGCGGCGATGATGACTTTATGCGCAGCCGGTATCCAGGTCTGGCGTAAGGCCGGCCTGCTCGAGGCGGCGGCTCTCGGTGAGGGCGCGGGCCATGATGACAATGGCCTTAAAGTTGTAGCCTTGCTGAGCAGCGGCACGGACAAAGCCGTTGTTGGCGGTGAGCGTCGGGACGCCCAGTGCGTCGCCGACTCCAAACACCACCCGGGCGCGGGGCTTGATGCGGAGCGTCGGGCGGAGGCTCGCCATCCGTTCGGAAAGCTCGTCGGGAACAATGGCGACGTTGGCGAGGAGCGCCTCGGCACGGGCGCGCTCGCCGGGCCCAGCCACGGTGTCGAGGATGGCCTGGAGTGAGGCGAGTGCGGTCTCGCAGACCACCAGCCGCTTGCCGGCCATCATCCGTTCCATTAGCGGCAGCTGCCGCTGCTGTCGCTCGCTGGCAGCTTGCTTGGCAATGAGCGGGTCGTCAAACTCGGTCTCGGCGCCGCCAGGCTGGCAGAGGTCCGAGACATAGGCAAGGATTGCGGAGACGTCCAGATTGAGCATCTCGGCGCTGCTGTCGGCCGGCGGCGTGCTTGCCGCCGCACCAACCACGTCCCCATTGTCATTGCCTTCGGGCTCGTCATACTCGTCGTACTCGTACTCATACTCCTCGATCGTCTCGACAACATACCGATTGCCCTGCGCGTCCTCGATGATCTTGCCGCCGGCCATGAGATCAGCCAGCTCGGCCTCGGTGACGGTGGTAGCTGGCGCCGAGACGAGCGGGCCGGCCGGGCTGTCAAGCAGGCCAAACGAAGCGAGCGTCGACGGGCAGATGAACGGTGACGGGGCAGCGGCGTGGGCGACACCATCGAGCGGGCCGAGATCGACCCGCTCGCCGCGAACAACAATGCCAAGCGCCTCCAGGTCTGCGGCGACCGAGATGGAGACGCCACCGACAAAGACGTAGACGACAGCCGGAATGGTAAAGCCATGTGGGTGCTCGGCGGCAGCGTCGAGGAGGTGGCGGGCCTGATCGATCATGGACGACGACGAGGCGCGGCCATGGCCGGCGTACATGTTGTGAAAGGGGACTGGTGGAGTGACCTTGACCTTGAGCCACTCGACAGCCGAGTGAGTCTTGACCACCGCATCGACGTAGACCTTGGCCTTGGCGCCGTACTTGAAGGATCCGCCCAGCCTGACGAGGCCATCGAGCTTGCGTGCGGTGGCCAGGATGGCCGAGAGGGCGTGGAGATTGGATGACTTGACCCTGTTGGCTGTGAGCGGAATGAGACCCGTCCGTAGCCGATCCAGCATGCCCTCCTCCGCCCGCAGCCGCTTGCGGAAGGAGACCAATGAGTGCGCCAGATCCCGTGCGTCCCGCGGCCGAGACACCTCGCCGCCACGCCGCCGTCCCTTTGCCGCCGCCACCTCGGCCTCCCCCAGCATGGCCTCCACAACCTCCAGACTTCGATCTAGCAGGCTCTGTAGCACCTCCACCTGCGCACGTAGCTCCTCCGGGTCTTCGCTTCCGTCGCCTTCCATCCCTTGTTGCTCTGCGACGGTCGAAGTGGTGTGTCTGAGGGCTTTGCTTGTGGGCGGTGAGGGGTCCGCTGCGCTGGCCTGCTGTCGTCGAAGCGCAAGACCTTCCAAATGCCATCCTGGGCTCTGCCGCTGGCCGACGCGATCTCGCAAGGAAACGGGAGCCATCGAAATGCTATGCGATCAAAGTGTTATGAGCTCGGGTTTGAGAACGAGAAGCGGGTGTCACTGCGCAGTTGGGAGAGCGCCCACTCCTTGTTCTCAATGTCGGCGAGGATCGAGGTGTAGGACGCCACGAGGTCGTCAAACTCGCGGCCGAGCCGCCCGAACGAGGCCTCACGCGCACGCGCGGCTTGCAGCTGATCGCGGGCAGAGGCGAGCGCTTGTGTCAGTTCGTCGCGGATGACGGTGAGGGCTGGAAGCGTCCGTGGCGTGTAAGTCTCCAGCAAGAGCTGAAGCTTGGTGACCTGCAGCTTGAGGGCAAGCGCGTGGGCGCGGGCGGCGAGAAACTCGCCACGGACTCGCTCGGAGCGGACCGCAGTACCAAGCAAATGGTCCTGAATGAGGGTGACCACCGAGCCAATACGAGAGCCGACGAGAGTGTATAGCTCCCAAAAGGCTTCAAGCGTTCGTGCGTTGTACGCGGTCTCCAGCTCACGGGCGGCCTCGGTCTCGAGGGTCGCCTCGGCGACCCATGCCGCCAGACTCGGTCGGCCGCCGGGCGACGCCTCCTCGCTCACCAGTGAGGCGAGGAAGGTGGCATCGGCTGCAAGCCGCGCCTGCAGCTCTGGCCGCAGTTCGTCAGCCAACGCGGCCAGCGCAGCGTCCATCGCAGCGCGGCGGGCCTCCGGCGACTCGGCCTCGAGCGCATCGGCGCCCACAAACGGCGCCAGGAGCGACCACTCGAAGAACTCGGGGTCAAGGCCAAGGAGATATACCCCATGTACGCCTGATGGGGTGCTTGGCGACGGCACACCAGCTCTTGTGGCGACAGCACCCAAATCGACCACATCGTGCAGCGCGTGCCAGGCGAGGACCCGCTCCAGCAGCAGGACCGCCTTGGCCGACATCGACGTCTTCCCCCCGCCACTCTCTGGCACCAGCCCCATCGAGCCCAGATGATAGTCGGCAACAACCGCGGCTGCGGTATCCAGCACCAGTTGCTGGGTGGCGTCCTCGATCACTGCCGCCCGATGGGCAGCCTTGGCTTCTCTCAGCCGATCTTCCAGCGAGGAAGACGCACCACAAGCTCCGAGAGTGGTCTCTGCTACGAGATTGACATCTGCTTCTGCCTCAATCCCCACCTCAATTCCATCGACCGCCCCGATCTCCGTTGCCACCGCCTGAGTCTGGCCCCACTCGGCCTCGTCGTCGGGCCGTCCAGCCCGGCCCGTCCCCACCGCCCCCACCGCCCGCCCCGCCCCCATCCCCATGGGCCACTCCAGCCCCAGCCCCAGCCCCAGCCCTGTGTCCATTCCCGGCAGCAACGCCATTGTCCGCTCTCTGCACAAAAGGTGCTAGATGAGTGGTGCCGTGGCGGCAAGAGTCGGCTGCAGCAGTCGGTGGCCTCGGACGCCGGCGCTGGCTCGGGGGCACCGGCTGGGGCACTGGCTCGGGCACCGGCTCGACCAGCAGCAGGTCTTTGTCCGGGATGGGCAACAGGGTGCTGGATTGGGCTGCACCTCGCTCTACCTCACATACACATACACACCTCTCCTTCTCTATATGGCGAGCGATGTGACAGAGTGGGCGGCGCGGACGCTGCCGCTGCCACGGCTGCTTGAGGCGCTGCTGGAGGCGGTCCCGCAGGTCGTGCCCGGGGGCTTGGCAGAGAGGAGCTACGCTGAGGATGGGAGCGTGAGCTACACATTTACACTGCCGGCGGTCGATGCCTCGGCGTGGATGCCTCTTCCGCCTCCGACCTTAGTGGATCTGCCGGTGGAGATCCTGGTGGCCATCATGGCTGAGCTGGGGCCTCGTGATCGCGCCCGTGCTGGACGGAGCTGCCGGGCTCTGCGGGCGGCAGCGACGGGCTATCCGGGTCTCTGGCGGGTACTGTCGCTGCCGGAGATGATAAACGGCGATGCGCATGGCCGACCGGACGCTACCTTGTGGGCGCTTGCGCGATCGCCTCTGCTGGCGCACGTGCGGGTCCTTGATCTGGTCGATCTCTCCAACGCGAGCGATGATGCGCTCGCTGCGGTCATCTCGGGCACGCTGGTCGAGCACGGTGCGGTTCCGAGCCGCATTTCACTACACGGTTGTGACCAAGCCGGCAACGCATGTGCGGCCGCGCTGGCGAGGCATACGGCACCGGATCGAATCATCGGGTTGGTGCTCTCACGGACCGCATTCAGCGACGCTGCACTGGTCCGGCTGGCGAGTGCGTGGTCGGAGTTGGAGCGATTGGAAGCGTTTGACATCTCGTTTGCACCTCGAGCCACCTGCAGTGGCGTGGCTGCCCTGATCAACGCAGCTACGACACCGGTGCTGGCGGTGCTAGCGCTGGATCGCATTGAGCTCACGGCGTTGCACGTGTGGCAGCTGCCTCCAACGGTGACATCGCTTTCACTGGCGCACGCGCGGCTATCGCCGAGCATGGAGCTGAGCGAGTGCAGCGAGTGGCTTGGGCAGATGCCAGCGCTGCGGAACCTTGTCGTTGATCGAGCTGGCTTTGTGGACGAAGCCTGGCTCACCAGCTTTGTTGGACCGCGGCTCGCGCCATGGACCGAACTCGGCCGGCTCTCGCTCTCGGGCTGTCCGCGACTCACACCGGCGATGGTGAGCACGGCGTGGAGTAGCGCGCTGGCCAACGAGGCGGTCACGCCTCTCCCGGCGCTCACAGCGGTTGACCTCTCGCGGACGGCGGTGGATGACTCGGATGTGTGGGCGATTGCTGAAGCCGCGGGCACTACGCTCACTTCTCTCAACGTCTCCTGCTGCACCGACGTGACCGGTAGCGGGCTGCTTGACTTGGTCAGTTTTGCGCTTCCTGTACTCACCGCCATCGACGCATCCTGGTGTGACCGCGTCTCGCGGCGAGAGGCGACCGCTCTGCGCGAGCTGGTGGCATCTCGAGGTGAATGCGATGGAGAGAGAGTTTGATCTAGGCGTAAAAGTGGCGACGGCTCGCTGTCTGGATGCGCTTCGTGAGTTGCAAGTCCTTGGGCTCGACAAGAGTCGAGTCGCGGTGAATGGCGACAACGTTGGCGAGGTGAAAGAGCTCGACGACATGGGCCTCGGCTGCGTGCTGCAGGGCTGCGTAAGCTTCATCGGAGATGCCCATGTCAGCGCCAGCGACATCGCGGAGAACGCCCGGACCACGGCCTGGAACATGTCTGGAGCAATGGCGAGGTCGGTGGACTTTTGCGCGCTGCGGATCTCGCGGAGAGCCAGGGTACCTGGGCGATAGGTGGAACCGCTCGAGCCGGCGGTAGCGAGGGCAGCATCGACGAGCCGATTCTCTTCCATGTCGCGGTTGTTCGCGCCGCCGTGGACAGGCAAGAGGCGGACATGAATGTGCGGCAAAACGCCGCCGCGGGCGATGATGCCGCTGCGGAAGTGATTGCTCAGCTCCTCATCGCAGGAAATGGAGAGAAGAACGTGGCGCTCGTTGATACGGGCACGGCGGTTGTCGCGGGCGGCGTTACCACTCAGCTCGAGGATCTCGGCGGTGATGTACTCGGTGAATGCGGTAAGGGCGACGAGGGCCTCGACAGAAAACGCAGGGCTTCCATCAGGGAGAGAGAGGACCGAGCTCCCGAACCGCTTGGCAATGCCGGAGCGGGTAATGAGGGTCGAAAAGACTAGACCACTGGCGGTGGATGCGGTTCGTAGCGTGGCTGGCGGTTGGGCAGCCTTCAACTTGATGACGGCCCTGGTTGCTTCGGATGTACCGTGCATGGCCAGCTCGCCCGGCACAGCGAGGCGGATAGCAGCAACGACGTCGGGGAGTTCAGCGGAGCGTTCGTCGGTCTCGAGCGAGTTGGCGATGAGTTCGTCGCGCTTCGCCATCAGCTGACGGGTGGCGGTGACAACGTCGACGAGCGACGACACCACGATGTCCTGGACAAGCTGGGCAGCACTTGTGCCGATGCTGGTGCAAGAGTGCACTTGCCGAAGTACCTTCTTGATCTGTGTCCGCCACGCTGTCTGGCCCAGGTTGGCCGGCAGCCGCTTGAGCACGGCCTTGCGGTCGCTCTCGTCGGGTGTGTATCCGCGGCGGGCAGCCTCGGCGTCGAGGCGGGCCATCAGACCGGCCTTGTAGGCTTCGAAATCTGAGACAGCGGGCGGCGGCGGGGCTTCCTGCAGCAGCTGGCGCTGTTCGGCCAGAATCAGCTCGGCGTCGGAGTCATCAGTAGGGTCGGGGTAGCCGATGGAGGCAAGCGAGACCGCGGCGGTCTTGCCATTGCCAGCCTTTTTTTTGTCGCCTTTGCAGTTTTCTTCTTTGCGGCCATCTTGGTCGTCTTGGTCGGCTTTTTTGCCTTGGGTTTGGCCGGTGGGCCCCAGTTTGCCAGCTTGGACTGCGGATCCACGCGGACCCGCGGAGTGGTGCAGAGTTTGCAGTGGTTGTTGTCGGCAGGGTTGTTGGCCTCGCAAGCAGGGCACTTCCAAGGTCCCGATGGTGTGTGTCTGGGTTGTCCAGGCGACAAGTTGTTGGGCGATCCAAACTTGAAGTTGCTATACGGTTTAGGCGCAGTGGCGTTGGGCGATCCGAACTTGAAGCCGCCTGACGGCTTAGGCGCAGCGGCGTTGGGCGATCCAAACTTGAAGCCGCCTGACGGCTTAGGCGCAGCGGCGTCGGGCGATCCGAACTTGAAGCCGCCTGACGGCTTAGGCGCAGTGGCGTTGGGCGATCCAAACTTGAAGCCGCCTGACGGTTCAGGTGCGGCGGCGTTGGGCGATCCAAACTTGAAGCCGCCTGACGATGCAGGCGCAGCGGCGTCGGGCGATCCAAACTTGAAGCCGCCAGACGGCTTAGGCGCAGTGGCGTTGGGCGATCCAAACTTGAAGCCGCCTGACGGTTCAGGTGCGGCGGCGTTGGGCGATCCAAACTTGAAGCCGCCTGACGATGCAGGCGCAGCGGCGTCGGGCGATCCAAACTTGAAGCCGCCAGACGGTTTAGGCGCAGCGGCGTTGGGAGATCCAAACTTGAAGCCGCCTGACGATGCAGACTTTGTCTTGGAGCCCGTAACGAGAGTGAAATTGTCGCCGTTGCCCGACGCGGGCGACACAATGTCGTCGATCCCATCTGGGCCGCCATCACCATACACCTCACCCTGAGGAAGGGCTTGCGGACTCGACTGCGGGCTGGAGACCCTGAAAGCATCGGCAGAGCTGGGATGTTCGTCCTTAGTTGCGCCATCGCTGGGAAGAATGGTCCCGACAAGGACCTCCGACTTGGACCACGACTCGCCGACGAGGTTGAGATCGCGAATGCCAGTGAGCTTTCGGGCGAGGAAGAGGAAAGGAGCCTTGAGCGACGCGTAGTCGTTGTTCGCCACCGCGGCCTTGACCGAGAGCCCAAAGACAGCATCAAACTTGTCCACGTGCCTGGCCTCACCACCGGGCACGTCTGTCTTGTTAAAGACGAAGACCTTGGGGATGCCATCACAGACTCGGACCACATCCCGAAGCCATGAAGTCCTTGCATGTTTGACCGAACTCCTCGACGAGGCATCAGCAAAAATCACCGCCGCTTGGCCCTGGATGTAGTACCCATCGCGGAGGCCACCAAATTTCTCCTGTCCGGCCGTATCCCACACGTTGAACACCAGCGGGCCGGACGAAGTCGCCAGCCTGACCTCATCCACCTCGACACCAAGTGTGGCTACATGCGGGGCGGATGGTGTGGTGTGGTGTGTGTGGGGTATATGTGAGTGTGTGCATGTTTGTTTGTATGTGCATGTGCATGTGTGTGTGCGTGTGTGCGTGTATGTGTGTGTGGTGGTGCAATGGAAGGCGACTTGGTGTGGTGGTGGCAAGGTGCGTGACAGAAGGGTGACCGAAAGAAAGGCAGGCATACATGCCTGGGCATACAAAGGGGATGGGGATGGGGATGGGTGAGGAGATGGGGGAGGGAGGGGGATTGCATACCAATGTACTTGGTCTCAAAGGCAAGGGAGTTGATGGCCTTGAGGAAGGCAGTCTTGCCTGTCCCTCCATCTCCCACAAGAAGGAGTTTGAAGGTCGGGGCGTTGCTCATGGTGGCTCTTGGAGGGTGAAGTGGGGCGGGATGGGGTAGGGGAGGGAGGGGAGGGGGGGGGGGAGAGGGGGGTTGGGGGGGGGGGTTGGGGGGGTTGGGGTTGGGGGGGGGTTGGCGGGCAGGCGCGGGTGCGGGTGAGGCAACCACTTGACTTGCTTGTAACAGGAGATGGACCAGTTGAACCGTACGTGGTGTTTGTGTGTGTGTGTGTGTGTGTGTGTGTGTGTTGTTTGTGTGTGTGTGTGTGTGTGGTGGGG